CTTAAAAGGGAAGCAAACCTTACAGCTAACTTCTGTATGAGGAATGAACGCATTCTATCTGAATGCCATTCTGTTCATATTATAGTTTACCCCAACCTCACTCCCCAACTTACGTACAAGTTAGGTTGCAGTAGTCTGTTTGTAAGCTGCGATTATAGATAAAAAGAGTACTGTACAGTATATACATGCAGTGCTGTGAAGTAAAAAGGTAAGGACACTTAACAACTACATAAAACATAAAGTATACAGTCCTAATGAATATTAGCACAGTAATAATAAAGTAATAATATAGCATAGCACAGAAATACATACTGTACATTCATACATGGGTCTATAATGTGTAGGTTTTTTTCATATCTATGAATGTTTGTAACTCAGTTGTTCACAAGTAGGGTAGCCTATATATATATATATATATATATATATATATATATATATATATATATATATATATATATATATATATATATATATATATATATATATATATATATATATATAGTCTTCCTTCCATTATCACGATGGTTCGGTTCCGGGACCCGGAGCGAAACAGGAAGATCGCGAAGTAGGATCAGCCTATATGTACATAGATATTTTAATTTATTTTTACGTTTACACTGTATAAACCCTCCCTGTACTGTTAACAAACCACCCTTTACTTCATAAATAACAGCATGCAACGTAAATTTATATGAAAGTGATAGATAAAATTACGGTGAATGAAGTGGTAATTACATGACATACTCATGTACATAGGTATTTTACAATTATTTTTACGTTTACGTACTGTATAAACCCTCCCTGCACTTGTTAAAAAAACACCCTTTACTTTATAAATAACAGCAAGCAACATAAATTTTTATGAAAGTGATAGGAAAACTTACCGTGAAGGAGGTGATGATGACGTGACATACACATGTACATAGGTATTTTACAATTATATTTACGTTTACGTACTGTATAAACCCTCCCTGTACTGTTAAAAAAACACCCTTTACTTTATAAATAACAGCAGGCAACGTAGGTGAGAGCCTTTTCGTTTTCCAAAATGCTGATAGCGGTATCGTATTTTACATGGTGCAATACTGTTAGTATTTATGTTTTCTATTATTTCTTACTGTGTTATTATGCTTAGGCTAGGAAATACTTGTTTTATCAATAAAATAATGAAAATTTTAATATTCATTAGGTCACGTAGGTGAGAGCCTTTGCGTTTTCCGAAACGTGATACCAGTATCATATTTTACATGGTGCAATACTGTTAGTACTGTATTTATGTTTTTTACTATTTTTTACAGTTTTATTATTCTTAGGTTAGGATATACTTGTTTTATCAATAAAATATGAAAATTTTAATATTCACTAAGTCACGTAGGTGAGAGCCTTTGCGTTTTCCGAAACGCTGATACCGGTATCGTATTTTACATGGTGCAATACTGTTGGTATTTATGTTTTTTACTATTTTTTACTGTTTTATTATTCTTAGGCTAAGAAATACGTTTTTTTATCAATAAAATCATGAAACTACTGGAAATTTTAATATACAGAATAAGCTAGCTCACTTAGGTGCAACCCCAAAACATTGTATGCTATCGGACACTATTTGACATGATGCAATACCCTGTACTGTGAGTTATAGATCTAAATTTTTGTTTTTTACTATTTTTTACTGTTTTATTATTCGTAGGCTGGGAAATAAATTTTTTATCAATTAAATAATGAAATTTGTTTTTTTCAATAAAAAAAATTAAAATACTGAAAATTTGTATTTTTTCAATATTTTAATATTTTTGCATATACCCAAAAAATAAAATAATAATTTGCCAAAAAAAAACCGTGGTACAGTGAAAACGCAAGCCAAGAAACGCGATCCAGCAAAGGATCACTGTATATATATATATATATATATATATATATATATATATATATATATATATATATATATATATATATATATATATATATATATATATATATATATATATATATATATATATATATATATATATATATATATATACCTCGGCTTAGGTCGTTTCGAGTTAAGTCGTTCTCGATTATACGTCGGTTTGCATAAAAATATATGGAAAAATAAAAAATAAAATAAAAATAAAGTTTACGTCATTATAATCAACTTTACGTCTGTCCGCTACAAATATTGGAATCATAATATCACTAGAAAACCATTAAAAGCACATGAAATCATGTTACTGTACAATAAATAAAAACAAAAGCACATAAAATCATGTTATTGTACAATAAATAAGAATAAAAGCATATAAAATCTTATTAAAATACTTACAGTAGTTCCAATATCTACCGTTAGGCGTTACTCGTCATTCCCACGAAACCGCTATTGTTAGATTTGTTAGCAACTTTACGTCTGTCCACTACAAATATTGGAATCATAATATCACTAGAAAACCATTAAAAGCACATGAAATCATGTTACTGTACAATAAATAAAAACAAAAGCACATAAAATCATGTTATTGTACAATAAATAAGAATAAAAGCATATAAAATATTATTAAAATACGTACAGTAGTTCCAATATCTACCATTAGGCGTCATCACTCGTCATTCCCACGAAACCGCTATTGTTTTGAATGGATAAGTTTATGCATGGTATATGTCTGTTTATCGGCTAATCTCATTCCTCATTCATTTGTGACCTTATATTTTGCCCCCATGGCACCTACTTGAAAAAAGCAAAGTTATTTTTAATATAATACTGTCAGGGAAATAGCGTGTGAGGGTGCATCAGCTGATACAGAAGAAGCAAAACATTTGCCGATAGAGGTCCGTTCATAGGCTAGCAGGTACAGGGAAATTTCCTTGTTTTAGGGAAATTCCAGTGGGTACAGGGAAACAGGGAAGAAACTTGAAAATTAACTAAATCTAGGGAAAATCCAAAAAAGAAAGAGGGAAAATCTAGGGAAATTCTGGAGAACTAGCTATTATTATTCCAATTCTTTATATTTTTACTCTGTGTGGTAATTGTGATGTAGAAACTGAAATGTATATAGCTTTGTATATGTATCTATAACGGGGATATTTTGAGCCAAATAGGGAATTTTTGACAGCTTGACCTGGTTTGGTCCAGCATCCTACTCCTCTTCTACCGCTTAATGCGATCGGATATTATGAAGAAAATTGAATAAAAGCATTAAGAACAAACAGCAAAGTTATTGTTAATATAATATTGTTAGGGAAATAGCGTGTGAGGGTGCATCAGCTGATACGGAAGTAGCAAATCATTTGCCGATAGAGGTTCGTTCTCCCCCATCCTACTCCTCTTCTACCGCTTAATGCAATCGGATATTATGAAGAAAATTTTATAAAAGCATTAAGAACAAACAGTAAACATATTTTTAATATAATATCGTCAGGGAAATAGCGTCTGAGGGTGCATCAGCTGATACGGAAGTAGCAAAACGCTTGCGATAGAGGTTCGTTCTCCAGCATCCTACTCCTCATCTACCGCTTAATGCGATCGGATATTATGAAGAAAATTGAAAGAAAAGCATTAAGAACCAAGAGCAAACATATTTTTAATATAATATCGTCAGGGAAATAGCGTGTGAGGGTGCATTAGCTGATACGGAAGTGTGACAAAACGTATGCTTCCTCATCTTCACTGCCACCATCAGTGTTGCCACAATACATAAATGAGAGAAATGATAAATATAAAAAACATACATGTAAGCTAGTAAGTTATTTCAAGTATCTTAAAGAATAAGTACATTTCAAAAGAAAGATACTACCTGCCCAACGTGTGAACAATGTGAAGAGACCCTAGAACATTTTCTACTATTTTGTGAAGCACATGCACAAATAAGAACAGAATATAGTTTTTTAGCACAAAAATATATAGAAAAGAAGATTGAAATAATTGCTAATATATTGTTATTTAGATATTGCAGTGAAAAAGACATCTAAGAAAAAAAAACATTTATAAAAAGAATTTGTAGAAAAAGAAATCAAATAATAAAAACCGCACAAACAATTTAGCAAAGCAAAACCAAGACTTGGGAGCCGTTGCAAAAGGCATATCCCACCCAACTAAACTACTACTACAGTAAATCTGTATATCTAGTCTAGCCTAGAGACAAGCTAATTCGATTTAAGTCGTTTTTCGACTTCAGTCGTCTCTCCTGGAACCAATTAATGACGTTGGGTGAGGTGTATATATATATATATATATATATATATATATATATATATATATATATATATATATATATATATATATATATATATATATATATATATATATATACACCTTGTTCTCAAAATAACGCCTAGATAGGTTCTCAGAAGTGTCGTGTAAATGGAAAATCGCGTGAAAAAACGAGTTATTTTCCATAGGAAACAATGATAAAGGGCATAGATACATTCCAAACCTTACATAGACACACCATGCCAAAGATATAAGATAAGTAAAAAAAATATTTTATTACTACATAGCAAAGCAGAAAGCCCTGTATCTATTTTTAAGAGTATACAAAAGATATTCATATTCACTTTACAGCTAGAAATTAACATACATTACTATACTTTATTATGCAGTGGGCAACAGTTATACAGTACACTGGGACATGCATGGTGGCAGTGAGCAAGTAACTTATGTGGTAGAAAAGGAGGAGGATGCAGGAGAACGAACCTCTATCTGCAAATGTATATAAAGATAAAATAAGAATTATAAATAACCAAAGCAAGACTAAAAAACGAAAAAAAAAATTAATTATGCAATGCGCTAAGTCTACCATATGACAGATTAAAAAAACTTAATCTACATTCTCTAGAGAGGCACAGAGTTAGGGGGGATACGATTGAGGTGTATAAATGGTTTAAAGGGATTAACAAGGGTGATATTAATAAAGTTTAAAAAATTCATGATCAAACCAGAACTCCTAATTGGTAATGGATTTAATCTTGATAAATTTAGGTTCAGAAGGGAAATTGGTGAAAATTGGCTTGGTAATACCGTAGAGTAT